GTGGACTCTGTCCCTCTGCTAGAAGTAACCTTATTTTGTTCATCATGGATCCCCAGCATCTAGAACACCTGGTAAAGGTCTCCGTAGATAATGAATGAATGCATGAATGAATGAATGAACGAACAAACCTCTATTTCGCAGAAGCGAGAGCTGAGACTTGGCCTGAGTAACAGCAAGGGAAGTTAGGGGCATAGCTGGGACTTATTTGGACCGTGTAGTCTCTGTCCCAGCTCCTGGTGAAGGCCAAGGAATGGGATTCTGAGCAAAGTTGCAAGGAGGACCCCTCATAAGGAGGGAAGTAGGGGGAGGAGGGTGCACTCTGGCTTCTCTAATGGAGGTGAAGTAGCTCCATCGGCTCCTGGCTTCTCTTTTCTTTGAGAAGCAGGTGGAAGGTTCTTCTCCTGAGAGAGGAAAGCTGTCTGAGGAGTCTGCAGAACCTCTCCATCTGTCCCCGGGGCATCGATGCCACTTCAGCCTCAGAGCTGGACTGGTGACCCACCTTTCCCATCTCATCCCCCACATATTCCCCTGCACCAGCCTGGCAGGCCAGGGCTGGGTGAAGACCCCCCAAGAATGGTGTGCCTTCCTCTCTCACTGGCAACACAGCATCTGATGGGCCCGTGGGAGGAATTGTGCGGGACCCCTGCAGGTGCCGGATCCGCTCCTGAGACAGCCAGCTCCCCCAGCGCACTTAGAATTGAACTCAGGTCCCCAACAGTCCAATCCTGGGGCCCTTCCCAGCCTCTCATGGACCAGACACCATTCTCATGTTGTTTTGTTTTAGTTTTTTTTCTTAGTTAAATTTGTCCTTCGGTGGGAAATGAATAAATGCTGATTAAAGAAAAGGTGGGAAGACAGAGACGAGGACAAAAAAAGGAGATGCTAAATGAAAAATTGCTTTTCTAATGGGGTATCGCTGGGGCTTCTTGTGGCCTAGGGCCTTGCGCTCAGAAGGGGGCGCCGACCCTCTGGTCTGCAGGAGCCTCCACAGCAGACTGGCTTTCAGGAATGGCCCTCGCCACGTGCTTGCTTGCTTGCTTGCTTGCTTGCTTGTCCAAGTAATGCAGAGAGCGGAACTGACGAAGGTTGCTATATTTAATGTTGATGTTTGCGTCACCGGTGACCACACAGCAGCGTCCGCCTGGGTGGTGCACGGGCTGGGGGCGTTTCTGAAGGACGCTTTAAGAGCACCACTTTCCACAAGGCATTGTGCAGGGGAAGGGAGAGGGCGCAACAGAAAGTGAGGTCGTAGGTAGAAAATTGCTTCTGGGATTTCAAATGGCTTCGTCATGGGGCCCTCCCTTGCTGCTGAGAAATCAGTTGATCTGGGAAAGTTCGTTGCAAACCCTTTACTCTGTTGCTTTTGGGTGGAGCTGAGAAACGAATGAAGATAATGAGGCTTTATGACTTTTATTTTTCAGTGTAGGAGTGGGCAGCGTGTGTGTGGGAGGGGTGACCGTGGATACAGTCCCCAGTTCTGACACCGGTTTGGGCTTCCGGAAAAGTCAGAGGACTGGCCAGTGAGTCCCAGGCCATCATCGGCCAGCCTGGAACATGGTCAGGTTGGACTCGGCTGGGCCGGCTTAGAAGGGAGTCAGCTCAAGGGAGGAACGATTTTTGGTTTTGCTCCAACTGACCAGCTAAATTAAGATAATACGCAGAAGGCACTTTCCTGTTGATAATAATGAAAAAGCCACAGGCTGATGGATTTGATGATCTGCAGCCTTCAAGCTTCCGGGTCACAAGGAAACAAGACGAAAGCCCTTGTCCTCCTGAGTCCCGAGCAGTTCAGAGAGGGCCAGCCTCAGAGAAACCCCAGCAGTGACTCGAAGTGTTTTCTGACACCTCATCTGAGCAGCAAACAGAGGGTGTTGGAGCCAAGTTCACCGGAAACTCAAGTGTGTCTCACTTCTCACTTGAGCCCCAGCCCCTCTTCCAGTGAAACCTCCGGGGCCTGGGGTTCGTGGGGTGCAAAGGGGCTCCCCACCCTGGGCCCCATGACCAGCATCTCCCTCCCACTCAGCAAGCACTCTGTCTCTTCCCGACCCCCCTTCTCTCTGGGACCTGCTCAGGGTTTGCTTCTCGCATGGAAGAAGTGAGACCATATGGTTAGAGAAACTCCCAGCAAATACCCCGGGCTTAGTCCCCAGGTAGTGGTGCTCCCAGCCACAATAGCTGACACATACACTTTTTTCCTCTTTCATCTTTTTCTTTCTCTCTCATTCCTGGCTGGGCCCTCCTCCCTTTTGCCACCTGCACTGGCTTGGTTCTGTGGCTCTGGGAGGTCCATCATTCCTGACAGGGCCCGAGCCCTCTCTGGCTGACTGCACACATCCGTGACCACAGGTTCCTTGTCTTGGGGACAGTCTCAGTGCTGCAGGCAGGGAGCTGTGGGTACTTGCAGATGTGGCGCACTGTGGACCCCTAGTGGTGGGGCCCCGGTGGCCTTGCTGGTGCTGTACACCCTCCTGACTACCACTTGGAGTAAATGCATCCTTAGGAAATCCTAAGGGACCCTGCCCCAGTCGAGCCTCACTTCCAGTCTTCTTGAAAGATTCACATGGAGTTTCACCTGAAGGCTTTCCATCTTCCTTCGGACCGACCGGCCAGTGCTCTGGTTGGGCAGAGGATGTGGGTCAGAGGTGATGCTGCCAGAGACTGGATTGCTAAAAAGTTTTGTATAAACATAAAATCAATCTTCCACAAATATCCTCTGGCTCAAAACTCTTGAACCTCTGGATGGAGAGGAATTGCAGAGCTCTTACCTCCTACCCCCCCACCCCCGAGTTGCCTGCTTTCCTGGTAGAGCTCTCCTCTCCAGACCCTCCATTGCTTACAGACTTCTTTCTGGGGCTAAACCTTGAGTGCATGTGCTGTCTTAGTCATTGCCAGCCCAGAGGGCAGGAGGAGTGTAGGCCGCAGGCAATCCTCAGCAAATATAGTGGGACTCAGCAGGTTCTGAGACCTTGTGGGACCACGGAGACGATCCAGTCCCTGCTCCGGACAGCCTGTGGGACGCTCAGCTCCTGTGCCCCCCTCCACAGGTCCTCCCTCATTTCTACCTGGGTGCAAGGGGTCCGCTCTGTTTCAGTGGCTCCTGGAGCTGCCCCTGTGGTTGTGTGCCCCTGGTCAGGTCCTGCCACGGCTTCTGTTGCCTGAGTCATGCACAGCATCACCTCTCACTGCTCCCAGGTGACTGCCCCCACTGGTTTCTGAACATTGCTGTGGATGTTCCCACAGGGCTCGGGGCTTCTCAGGGAGGGTACCTGCCCGCCACCCAGTGTTTGAGACTGGTTTGTGAGGACCCTACCACTCACTGCAAAAGCATCCCCTCCTTATGGGCACCTCTCAGATTCACAGTGTAAACCGCTCCTGAGAGACATGAGCATTAGCTGTGGTTTGCTGAGGCCTCTTCTTCTGGTGCTCCTAGTGCTGGCCTGGGCCAAGGGAGAGGCAGGAAGACCTGGTTGGGGCAGCAGTCTGACCAGGCCCCTGTGACCTGGGGTCTCTACTCATCACTCCATAGTTCAGGGGTCATAAATCAGTTGTTCAGAGAGGTGGTGAGTATGCACTAATGATGACACCTGTCCAAGGACTGGCTGTGCTCTCCCTAGAAAGTGAGCTTCCCATCGGGGGAGGTGCCTGCATAGGTTGATGCCAGTATGATAAAGGCCATACATTTAGGTGAGATGACATTTGGACAGAGAAAGGCTGGGTAATTTAGTGTATGGGCTTTGGAGTTGGAGTGAGTTCTGGCTTCTCATCCTGGCTTTGCTCCTCACCAGGTGTGTGACCTTGGGCATATAGCCTTTTCTCCCCTGAGCCTCAGAGAGGTTGTGGGGGAGACACCAGAGGTTGTGTGGGTGGTGCTACACATAGGCTGGCCACTCATCATAACCGTGATCATAAGATGACTTCTGAGGTCCCTAATTGCTCCTCCTCCTCCTCCTCTCATGTCCTCCATGAACCCAGAAGTCAGGGCCCAGGCTTCCTCTGCCTCCCAGTGGGTGGCAGCCCACACCCCTGGGGGGTCGCTTACTTCCTTCCAGCCCAGGTCCTGTCCCTAACTCCCCCGCCCCTCCCACTGCCCTGCCTCCAGAAGAACATAGGCCAGGATTCCCAAAGGCCACAGTAAAAGACAAACATCATCAGGTCTCTTGTCACTGTCTTTATTTCTGGCTTCCTTTGACAAAGTCGGTGAAACAAGACATTCAATGACCCCTCCCCACAGTCCACACACACCAGATGCAGCATTCTAGGCTGCTCTTCTATATATTATTAACTCTTTGATAACATTTCATTTCTTAACTTTAAATACAGGGAAAAACAATAAATTACTTCTTGGCTGAGGGCCAACTGCTGGCTGGCAGACAAGAGCAGCTACTCCAGCCCTCTCTCCTGTCCCCTGTGTCGGCCCCAGGACCCCAATGAGGTAGCAGAATTTTGCACACAGTGCTTATTCCCAGGGACTCCTAAAGCCCAAGTCACTGGGCCCCCAGCTCAAGGTTCTGGTGGTGACAGTCCCTCCCTGTCCCCAGCACAGACAAACAACATTTGTTTAAATAACACACAGTAATAAATAAGGCCAAGAAGAGATATGCCTGAGCCGCTGTCTGCCTTAGCTGTCCCCGTATAGAGCAGGTCCGCCTCCCATACGTGTCTGCCAAGGTGGCGTCCTTGGTGTAATGCTGCCATTCCCTCTAAGGAGGGGGCGGTCGTGAGAGGCAGTGCTCCGCCCCCCCTCCCCCACCCCTGCCCCTGGTTGTTCACAGAACTCAGAGCCCAGATGGAGGAGGGCCCTGTGCACCAAGGCAAGGGCAGCTGGGGTCGGCTAGGCGAGGGCAGGCAGCACAGGCTGAGGTCTAAGCTAAGGAAATCGTGCCCCCCTCCCATCCCCCCATCATCTCCCCAAGTAATTTGAAACTTCTGAAAGAAAAATGAATCTATAACTTAAACGGTCAGGTCTGCCTCTGCAAATAGCCATGTTAGGTTTTCATCCTTCATTTGAAATTTCCATGGCGAAAATTTCTCCTTAGATGGTTGAGCAGGTTTTTTACCAACTGGATCACTTCAATTTTGGTATCTCGGCTGCGCTCACTGGAAATCTGCTGTGGGAAAAAGAGGCCAGGGCATTAATGGGACTCCAGAGCAAAGATGCCCAGCTTCTGCCAGGGGCTTTCCAGGAACTGGCTTATTTAATCCTCACAAAAGCCCCACGGGGCGGGTACTGTTAGTCTGTTAGTGCCCACATTTCACCGATATGGAAACTGAAGCTCAGGTGGGAGTCGGAAGCTCTCAAGACCAGGTCTTGGAAATCCCGGAGGCCATGTTCCTGTTGCCACCGTGGATCCGCCCCCCGGGTGGACGCTTGCCCCAGATGCTCAGCTAGGTTCCCCCCGGAGCTTCTAGGGTGAGCCCAGGGCTGGCAGGAGTGGGTGCAGGGTTGAGGGGTACAGGGAAGGGCGCCTTACCCCTGCTGAGGGTTTCTGAGTGCACAGGGCTTTCAGCATCCTCTGGGTCCTTTGGATGGCAGTGCAGTCAGAGACATTGATGAGAGATTCTAGGGCTGCACAGTACTGCTGGGAGAAGAACACAGGGGTGTCAGGCCCTGCTGGGAACCCCCAGCCGTATGGCTTAGGCAGCACCTTCAGTGACTTCACAGGAGGAGGGGGCTGAGAGTCTTGACGGAGGTAGCTTTGGGTGGTGGGGAAGGTCCAAACTGTGCTTGCGTGGAACCCCTAAGCCTTGCAAGTGAGGAAAGACACACATAAGACCTACAGCCTCAGCCACCTCCCTCCCAGCTTCCAAGGGGTCCTCACCATGCCGGTTGTCAGGTTGACGCTCCACACCATGCTGCCATTGCAGAGGGATACCTGAAGGAGCAAAAAGCAAAATCGCAGGGTAGGTCTCCATAGCGATCAGGCCCCATAGGCAACCCAGTGTAGCACAGAGGCAGGCCTGGGACCCCTCAGTGTTCCTGAACTTAATTTCCTGCTCTGCATACTGAGGGAGATCCATTGTACAGGGTTTGGGGGCTGAGAGAGAAAAATCTGAGTGACACAGCCTTGAGTGAAGCTTCCCATAGCCAGGGCAGCATTGGGTGAGAGAGGAGGGGAGGCCAGGTCAGTCAGATGGGAGGCGGTGGGCACTCGTGTATAAAACTCTATCTTCTGGGGGCGCCTGGGTGGCTCCGTCGGTTGAGGGTCCGACTTCGGCTCAGGTCACGATCTCACGGTCCGTGAGTTCGAGCCCCGCATCGGGCTCTGGGCTGATGGCTCAGAGCCTGGAGCCTGCTTCCCATTCTGTGTCTCCCTCTCTGTCTGACCCTCCCTGTTCATGCTCTGTCTCTCTCTGTCTCAAAAATAAATAAACATTAAAAAAAAAATTAAAAAAAAAACTCTATCTTCTGGAGGAGCCCCTGGGTGGCTCAGTCAGTGAAACGTCTGACTTTGGCTCAGGTCATGATCTCGTGGTTTATGAGTTCAAGCCCTGTATCGGGCTCTGTGCTGACAGCTCAGAGCTGTGAGCCTTCTTTGGATTCTGTGTCTCCCTCTCTCTCTGCCCTCCCCCACTCTCGCCCTGTTTCTCTCCCTCTCTCTCAAAAATAAACATTAATAAAAAAAATTTTTTTTAAACCCTGTCTTCCGAATCGGAGGACACTGCAGTTTGGAATATGGGCACCCGGTGTCACCCAGGCCTGGTTTGAATCTGGCTTTTGTCAACCTTAATGCAGCTTAGTAGAATAGGGTCATCGCACCTGTCTCTTGAGATGGTTGGCAGTGATGAAATGAGATGAAAAGCACAGCACTAGCCTTGGCACACAAAAATTACTCAAAGTGTGAGCCATCACCACTGGGGACAGGAGCTGACTACTAGTGAATTTTTCCATAAGAATGGGCTTAACCAAACTACTGCGAATAATGGCCCCATTATTCTGTTCACATCCATTTGGCAAATTCTAAATCGCCCTGGGAGGGTGCTGGCCTCTCTCTGCTAACCTCTTTTCTTGAACAGCTGAGTAGGAGCTGGTCTTGGCAGGCAGGGCCAGGCCAGGGGAACAGGTGGTCCTTGGGGGCTCAGCCAAATCTCTTTATGGGGCCGTCCGTTGTGCTATTCCCCCAACCGCTGGCCCAGCACCTCTCCCTCATGGCTGGGCCTGTCCTGGTCCATGGGGCTTCTTCAGGCCCCACAGGCCTCTTGGCACGGCCCAACCTTCATGGCCTGAACAATGACCAATTACCCTGCCTGAGAGTTACCCACCCTAGTACCAGCGTACTCACCTGATTCTGGGTGATGTTGACCAGCTCTTCAATGAGCTCCTTGAGCTCTCTCCTTGAGTGAGGGCCCGGGGAGGCAAGGCCACCAAGGCAGGTGAGAGCAATGACCACGGTCAGCCAGAGTGCCATGGAGCCTAGAGCTAACACAGGAGGAGCGAGGAGCAGACACGTAGGCTGGCCTAAGCTGAGTGGCTTGTGGCCTTGGCCTCTTGCGGTAGCTTTTATAGGCCAAGTGTGACGCCTCCCACCCTGGTCTCCGCTTTGTCGGGTACTATCTAGAAACCACATCTTTACTCATCTTGATTTTACTTTGTGGAAAATCCAGTGTCACATAAAGGAAAGAATTTGATTTCTTGTGCACTTAGCAGTGAGGGGGTCTGGGGCAATTTTCAAGATATGGGTGGGCTTACTCCAGCTTTAGGGAAGAGGGCAGCCTGGTGTCGGCCAAGCCAGCTGGAGCTCTAGCAGTTTTGCTTGGTGACCGCCCTGAGTGCCTGCCCAGCTCCTGTCCTGAGACCCTTTGGGTCACCAGAAGTGCTAGGCAGACAGTGCTATGACCACAGTCTACCAGATGTGGGAATTGAGGGTTTTATTTTTTCAGTGAAGTGGTCTCTTGCATTACCAGAGTAATACTTGCTTTGGATACAAAATTCAAACGGGATAAAAAGAGAAGAGTGAAGTTCACTCCTTTTCATCTGCCTGATTCCCTGTTGGCCTCACTGTGGAAAGGATGATAAAAAGTTCAGACTCCCAGGTCTCCACTGAAAGATCCAGTCAGAATCAGAGATCCTCCCTGGGACCTTTTCTTTTTAAAGTTGCCTTGATTATAACTTTGAATATGGACAGCCTAAAAATGGGGTGCACAACTCAGGCCTTCAGCGTGGGCCTGTCCTGATGGGAAACGCTTGGCATGCCAGACTGGCACGAGTCAGGACCCAGCCTTAGCCCAGGTTGGAAAGTGTGACTGCTCCCAGTGCCATTGAGACCTGGGGTGGCCACCTCTGCTCACCAGTTATCTGTGGGACAAAGCCCTCCCCACTGAGGGACCCAAGTTTCTACAGATTGAAGGCTGTGGAGGGCAGTTTCAGGGCCTGCCCCCCACTCCAGGATTTCCCTGAACAGCCCTCTCCCTCAGGGACACTGGCCCATAACCTGCTTTTCACTCCTTTCTCTAGAAGTCCTCCAGAAACCCCTGCAACAGAAACTATGTTATTTGCCTGTTGATTACTGATGTCAGCCTGGCTCCTTCACCCACTTCCTCCCCTAAACCAGTGCTTTCCCCTCCAGGCCCCTCTCTGTCTGCTCAGGCTCCCTTTGTCCTACCCTCAGTGAGGCTCAACCTCCTCACAAGGGTCTCTGAAGGGATGAAGGGCCACTGCTGGGGCTCTTGTTCACAAGCCTCCCAGCCTTGCCCACTCTCTCCTCCCACCCTCTCTTCAGGCCAAACCAAACTTCGCAGCACAATTGTAGGTCCTGAGCCAGCCCCTGCCTCTTGTGCCCCCCCCCCCCCCCCCCCCCCCCCCCCCCCCCCCCCCCCGCTCCTCCCCTCCCCCCCCCTCCCCCAGTGCCTGGAGTGCTGCCACTAGGCTGTGTGACACCGCTGTGGGCCTTAGTTTCCTCATCTGTAGAATTGGGTCTCTGTGTTGAGGGAAGGAGCAGGGAACCGCTGTGGGATCCCGGAGCTCTGCGCCAAGAGGAGCCAAGGACCCTCAATCGCGGACCGTGTAAACTGAGGCGGGGAACTGTGGGCAGGTGCGCCCCCGCGCGTGGGAGAAGGCGCGCTGGCCTGAGTCGCGGCGATGCCCCGCGGAGATAGAGGCCTTATGTAATGAGAGATAGGGCTGATAAACAGGTTCTGCGCGGCTCTGCCCTCCTCCGCTGCCTTGGGCGGTGGCCTTGCGGGAGGGACGGGTGGGAGCGGACTCCTCGAGGCTATGAGGCGTCCGCCCCCCTCCTCGCGTGCGCGCGGGTCGCAGGCCGGGCGCGGGAGCGTCCAAGGTGGGAGTGATGGGACCCAGCGCCAGGCGTGACGCGGGCCGCCACACATGCCGGCACCCCGGTACCCCGAGCGCCTGTGCGCACCGGCGAGGGGGGCGCCCGGCCCGCCGAGTGGCCGGGCATCTGCTGATGCCGAGGACCCTGCCCGCCCCGACTCCTGCCTTGCCACCAAGGACATCGGGGCCGCGCCTCCCGGCCGGGTTCAGGAAACCCGTCCTGGCCTTTGGCCCGCAGAGAGACCCCAGCTGGCTGGCTACGTAACAAATGCTCTTGTTGGTATCTGATTTTCAGCGGGCTCCATTCACAGACTGGATAATTGCAGTCAACACGAACTACGAACGGGCTGCTCCCTGCACTCGACACAGGGCTTGCTACTGTCCTACAGCCTGAGGCGTGGGCGCCAGATCCTGGCCCCGCAGGTGCAGGACGCGCTCCCCGCCTGGGGGTGGCTGGAGGGGGGAGCCTGCTCCGGAGGCGCGGTGAAGACTAGGGAAGGGCGGGGTCGTGGCCTCTGCGCCTTGCTCTTTGTCCCTGGTCAGGTCGCTGGGGTTGAGATGGCCCAGCCTCGGGACCAGCTCTTTCTGTGCGAAGTTCCGCAAAACATCCTTTCCCAATTTTCTCTCGAGTTGTTTCTCCTATGGAAAGAAAAGATGCCCAGTCAGTGGGAATAAGGGTTAGGCGAATTGTTTTAATAATCTAAAATAACTAATTTAGTAGAATTTTTAAAATTAAAGTTATAAATGCCTGTAATTTGTAAAAAAAAATCATTCAGGGAGGTTGGTTGTAAAAAATGTCAGTTTTGACTTTCAGTTCCCCGTGGGTCTGTTGGATTTCTGTATGACTGGTGAGCGAGGATCTAAGTGCCCTTCTTTGTTCCTTAGTGTCTTTTGAAAGATGTTTGTATGCCAATCAGTGTTGGACACAGCAGCACCTTCCTCACAAACCAAAGGCAACAGACTTACTGTCCATGATCAGAACTTCAGTCTCCCTAAGCTCAGGCTTCTTCTCCTGTACTGCAACCCACACTGTGCACAGGTGCTGGCTGGGATCCTGGGCACCACACTGTGAGAACCGCGGTGCAGAGGACAAAATAAAAAATAATACTCTAATACTATTATCGTGCATAACAGGCTCCTCTTTGTCTCTGATCCAAGGGTCTCCCGTCACCTGCCAGCATCCATGAACTTGTTAGTTACCTTGTTAACTGGCAAGGGAGATAAAATGGCAGAGCCTTCAGTTGCCGACAAGCAGCCCAGCCCCCTCCCCCCACCCCATTAGCCTCTTCTCTGAGGAGCCATGATTTTAACTGTTTCTTTTGGAATTTATGTCCTCTGTGTTTCTCAATTTTCTTAATTTTCGGGGGTAGGCATTTACTATGGTCTATGATGAATATTTAATTTTCTTTCCTCCTTGCCTTCCTTCTTGCACTTGCATCCTTACCTTTTTCTCATCCTCCTTATACAGTAGATCAGAGTTCCCGGTCAGTCAGACCCTTTTTTTTTTTACAATTTGTATAATAATACCAATATATTCAAAGCTGGGACGTGTAGTTAACTACAATTAGATTACTTTTATTTCCCCTCAAAGCTTTTTCTTCTGGAGTGAATAGTTTTTTCCACTTGCTTCATTCTCTTTTCCTCTGTGATTTGACCCTACATTCTTGGCCGCTTATATAAATATCTTCTCATTAGACTTGGGCAAATGAGTTATTCGCACAATTTCATTTTCTCCAAAAAGTCTGCCCTGGAGCCTGCTGAGTTGCTCTGACTGACCTGGACAGCACCCTCTGACAACTTGCTTGGCTGGCTGTCATTCTGAGGTCTCCTGTCACCCCCCTCCTGAGACTTCCCTTTGCCTCTCTCCTGTGTGACCTTACTGATCCTTGCATTTCAGGTCTTCTTCTTTGTTGGGGAAACACATCCTAACAACACAGAATTTCAGGCAGGAAATAATTTTCTTTTAGAATTTTTAATGCCTTTACCGTGGTGTCCTATCTTCCAATATTGCTGCTCAGAAGTCCAAATGCATTTTGAATCCACATCTTTTCTAGCTGTCTCTTTAGAAATTTGTAGGAAATTTTCTGGGCTCCCATGCTCCACATTTTACAGTTACCTTGGGGTAGTTTTGTTTTCCTCTAGGGTATCAGATGCACAGTGGGTCCTTTTAAACTGAAGACATGTCATTAAGTTTTGGGCAGTTTTCTTTCTTGGAAAAAAAAACCAAAAACTTCAATTTATTTTATTTAAAAAGTCTTATGGGGGCGCCTGGGTGGCTCAGTTGGTTAAGTGATCGACTTTGGCTCAGGTCATAGTCTCCCTGTTCACAAGTTTGAGCCCCGCATTGGGCTTTGTGATGACAGCTCAGAGCCTGGAGCCTGCTTCGGATTCTGTGTCTCCCTTTCTGTCTGCCCCTCCCCTGCTCGCTCTCTCTCTCTCTCTCTCCTGCTCTCGCTCTCTCTCTTGCTCTCAAAAAAATAATTTAAAAAATTAGATGTCAAGTTAGATTAAAAAATGTAGAGTCATTGCTTTTTAAAAAATAGATTTTTTTAGAGGAGTTAAAAAAATTTTTTATATGTTTATTTATTTTGGAGACAGAAACACACCTTGAGTGGGGGAGGGGCAGAGATCGAGGAAGACACAGAATCTGAAGCTGGCTCCAGGCTCCGAGGTGTCAGTACAGATCCCGATGCAGGGCTTGAACCCACCAACCGCGACATCATGACCTGAGCCAAAGCCTGATGTTCAACCGATTGACCCACCCAGGCACCCGAGGAGTTTTAGATTCACAATGAAATTGAACAGAAAGTCCAGGGTTACCATATACTCCTGACCCTGCACATACATAGCCTTCCCAATTATCAATATTCCCTGCCAAAGGGTACATTTGTTACAAGTGATAAGTCTACATTGACACATCATTATCACCCAGAATTCATAGTTTATTTCAGGGTTCACTCTTGGTAGTGCATATTCTGTGAGTTCTAACAAATGTATGATGGCATGTAACCACTGTTGTAATATCACATGGAGTAGTTTCACTGCCCTAAAAATCCTCTGTAATCCACCTCTTTGTCCTTCCTTCCCTACTAACCCTTAGCAACCAATGATCTTTTTATTGTCTCCGTAGTCTTGCATTTTCCAAAATGTCATATAGTTGGAATCATACAATGTCTAGCCTTTTCAGATTGACTCCTTCCATTTAGTACTATGTATTTAAATTCCTTCATGTCTTTTCATGACTTGGTGTCTCCTTTTTAGTGCTGAATGATATTCTATTATCTGGATGTACCA